GACAGTTTAATAATCAACAGTATTAATAGTATGCCAACCTTCTCAACAGTGTCTCAGAAAGTTAAAACAGGCAGTGGCAACCCAGAGGTGTTAACAAGCTGCCTGGCTGCGGATACCTCATGGTGACAACACAAGCAGCACTTTTCTGATTGGGCTTGTTGCTTGGGTGAACTCTGTAGAAATTTCCGATGTCAAACACTGGCTCGCACAAAATTTTCTTCACTTAAACGAGAGCAAAACCGAGTACATCGCTTTCAGTCCAGATCTGGCCACCCTGATACCCAAGCTAGGTGCCTTGGCCCCTTCGGTCACTGATACTGTTAAAAACCTCGGAGTAATATTTGACAGCAGTTTTAACTTCGATAAACAGATCCGCTCCGTAGTCAAAACTAGCTTCTTTCATTTGAGGATGCTAGCAAAAGTGAAGCCCTTCTTATCACATGCAGAGTTGGAAAAAGATATTCATGCTTTTATTATGTCCAGACTTGACTACTGCAATGCCCTTTACGTTGGTATCTCGTAATCTCTCCTTCAGAAGCTGCAACTTGTACAGAATGCTGCGGCTCGGCTTCCGTTGAGTACTCCCAGACGTGCTCACATCACTCCTGTTCTCTCCTCGTTACATTGGCCACCAGTGAAATTTAGAGTCGATTTTAAAGTACTGTTATTTGTCTTTAAGTCTATCAATGGCCTTGCCCCCTCATACTTATCAGAGCTTGTGTCTGTCTACTCTCCCCATAGAGCCTTGCACTCTGCAGACCACCTATCCCTAGTCACCCCCCACTCTTCCTACAAAAAATGGGGAGATCGCTGTTTTAGCAGCTATGGCCCTAGGCTCTGGAACTCGTTACCTCCAGAAACGCGGTCCATAACTGAGTTGGCCCCTTTTAAGGTAACTCTAAAAACTTACCTTTTTAGACGGGCTTTTGACAACTAACCCAGTTTTTTAAGGGTATCTTTTCTTTTGCAGTTTTATCATCCACCTTTTCGATATGTTATTTCTTGTTGTTTTTAAGGTTTGCTATGGTATGCATGTTTACTGTGAAGCACTTTGTGCTCCTTTTTTGAGTTTTGCTATACAAGTATTATTATTATTATTATGGACTGTATTGCACTGTATTTTTTATATAGCGCTTTCTCACAGTGTGTTGCACTGGCCAAAGCGCTTTACAGAAGATCATACACCATTCACCCATTCACACACTACATTCACACACCGATGACGACAGGCTGCCATGCACCGGCGCTAGTCAAGCCACCGGGAGCAATTCGGGGTTCAGTGTCTTGCTCAGGGACACTTAGGCATGCGGGGAGACTGGGAGTCGAACCACCAACTTGCTGGTCAGGAGACAACTGCCCTACCTCATGAGCCACAGCCATGATTATTATTACTTATTTTCTGTGATCTCACTTCAGATTTGAGTGGGTACGTTTGTTCAAAACCTTTGTTTTGTCTCATAATGGCATTTCACATTGGCACTTTTGATAAGTGCCACGGTTTCTGAACATATGAGACACACTGGTTTAGTGCTACCAGTGGGAAGTATGAACAGAAATGAGTCTGTCCATTCCGGATTAAATACTCTATTTTCACTGTCCACTTTTCTTTTCTTGGAGAGCGCCATTTGTTTCTTATTTTTCTCTCCCTTTCTCCATTTCACCCGTCTTTTTCTCAACTTTCTCCGGCGGTTGCCTGTATCTCTCCCTTTCTCAGGCTCAGTCGTCTCCACCTCTCCCTTTATTTTCTCTACATGTATCGCTATCTTCTTATTTTTACCGTCTTTTCATGTGTAACTTGCCTCTAACTCTCTCATCTCTCTGCACTATAGAGTCACAATGTCTACTGCCTGGAATGCACAGACTTGACTGGCTGAGTGGTATCACATGGGATGGTTTAACTCGCATGCAATTGGTCTGTGTGTTTCCTCATCCACTAAACCACAACCGTAAAGACTACAAAAACGGCACCGGTTAAAATAGAAGCGCCCTGTCAGGTTTTAAATCATAACCTTCTGTTTTGGCTGTAGGTCCGGGTCCATATGGGACAGCTCCTGGGTCCAGACCCAAACCGCGGTCCGCCTGTTAGTGACCTCCGCTTTATAGTGTCATTGGGTTCCATTCATTTCAGTATGGTATGCAAAACTTGCAAAGACTTGCTTAAGATAACACATTGACGTTAATGTTTTTATGAGATATGTTCATGTTAAAATGTGATTTTTCTCATTATTACGACATACTGTATTTTCTCCTTATAAAGGCAGGCTACTGTAGTTTCTCATAATAATGTGAGCCTGAATTTGATCAGTACGCTCATTCAGCTCAACAGCGTCCGTCTCTCATCATCACCTCCTATTTCAACTTTCCACACACACACACACAAATAATAATTAGTCCATAAAACAACATATGAATGCAGCTCATGAGCAAATACCCTGTACATGTCCTGATTATGTTTCAGGCATTACTGACACGAGATGAAGTCAGTGTGGCTGCTGTAACTCACACCAAGCTATGCAGAGTTCACATTAGGGAGTAGAAATTATATGATCCACTTTAGGAGTGTGCAATATCATATTAAATAGGTCCTTGGGCCATACATTTGAAACTGCAGTACATATGTAGTGGTTAAAACAAACAGTATATGTTAATTCTTATATGCACTTTATCAAATCCTTTCATTATTAGCAAGTCACCCTTGCAAAAAACTGTGGAAAAAGTGCATTTTGGTTTCGCTTTGGCTGCAGGCTTTAAAAATGGAATCATGTCACCATCTGGTGGATGACTATCAGAATTACAAGTTGGGACCAAGTACTTCAAAATTCATTAGGAACAGAGCGCAGTGCATTGCTTTATTGTAAGATAAATATGGCATCAAAAATAGTTTTTTAATGGGTTCCAATGGGACAAAAAATGTCTGGAGGGCAATATTTGGATGGATTTTAAAAATCTGCCACTACAAAAAAAAACAAAAACAAAAATGCATCAATATCAATGTTACTACTAATCACTGACCCATGCCAGGGCCTAATAATAATAATAAAATACTGGTTGAAATCTATTTTTTGAAAAAAAAAAAAAAATTTCCATTGAAAAAAAAGAGGGATTATGACAATATACTGGCCTTTAAAGTGTTAAAAAAAATCCCCAAATATAATTAAAAGTTTTTAAAAGATTTGCTAGTTTAAAGTGGAAAAAATATGAATTTATGACAATGTTAGAGCTGTTTTACAAAGGGTACATTTTTTGTCCAGAGGGACACTTTTGGATGGATTTTAAAGGATGGCATGAGGGGAGGCGATAGTGGGGTGGGTAGAGCAGTCGTCTCCCAACCGGAAGGTTGAGGGTTTGAATCTCAGTGCCTGCAGTCCACGTGTCAAAGTGTCCTTGGGCAAGACACTGAACCCCCCCTGTTGCCCCCCATGGTTAGAGCCATCGGTTGAGTTGGCGCCGCAGATGGCTGCCATCAGTTCTGTACCGGAAACAAATTCCTTGTGTGTAACATACTTGGCCAATAAAGGTGATTATTATCCTTAAATTGCTTAAACACTGAATCTGGAACAAGCAAAGCTTAATATTATAAACACATGACCGCATGGGTCAAAAGGAGGGTGGAGAGGATCATTGCAGACCCCTCACACCCCGGATACAATCTGTTTGAACTCCTCCCCTCTGGACGGCGTTACAAGTCCCTGTGCACTAAGACAACCAGGCACAGGGACAGTTTCTTCCCCCAGGCGGTTGCTCTGATGAACACTTAACCCACGACAGTATGATTGGACAATAACCCTTAGTGCAATAGCTGTGTATATATACATTGTACAGAGTCATAGAGGTCTCTAGTTTTAAGTACTCCATTTTTATCCCTATTTATCTCATTTCAATGAACATTCCTTTGTTGTCTGCATTGTTTACTGTCTGTTTATACTGCTTTTTTGGCACTGTTTGTTGATGTTAATACTGCTATTTTGTTATATTACACAGCCTTATGCTGGTTTACTGTTTTGCACATTGAGAGCTGATGTACAGTGGGTACGGAAAGTATTCAGACCCCCTTAAATTTTTCACTCTTTGTTATATTGCAGCCATATGCTAAAATCATTTAAGTTCATTTTTTTCCTCATTAATGTACACACAGCACCCCATATTGACAGAAAAACACAGAATTTTTGACATTATTGCAGATTTATTAAAATTACAAACCTCTGTTCTGTTGCTGAACATTACCACACACTGTAGTATTGTGGCTTTTAAAAATAAAAGCCTGAAGTTAATGACAGGAAGTGATGCACTGCTTTCAAACTGGTTGGATTTTCAAATTAAAGGTCCAGGATTGTTACTTAAGACCCAGCAATGTGCCAGATTTTCACATTAAAAGCCACAGATAAATGCCTGTGTTTCAAAATGCATTATAAACTTTATTTTGACAAATACTTCTACCCTTTTACAAATAAGTGATTTTATTTTATTTATACTCACTTTGATAATATAGCTTCCACTGTTTCAATGATGCATATAAGCTCTCGTCTTACTGAGATAAAGAAATTAAGCTCCCAACTTAAGCTTTTCTTTTCATTTTCTGTAATTATTCAGCACTGCATTTCAGCAGTTTCAGGAATGTTAAGGCCATTTTTTCAGTAATCAGCATTCACACACGATTTCTGCAGAAAATGACCTTTTCTAGTTTAATATTGTGTTACTGAGACATCTCTGCACAATCGCCGTAAATAGAAGCTCATCTAAATCTACTGTGGTTTGAAAACTAAGAGATTACAAATAACTAGGGGCCACACTCTAACCTAATTACACTCTAGTCTACAGAATAAGGAAATTTTTTTAATAAAATGCTTTTGTAAATTTTTAAAAGAAAGAATAACTGTGACACATGGGCACTGTGTTATATGTGAGTATTGACACAGATTGTGACTTGGATGCATTATTACGCCCCTACAAATAACTGTGCAATACAAGGCTGTCACTCTGAAAAAATATTTTATAATTACCATCTTGTTTCTTGAAGCCATATCGCCGGCCAGGACGCTTTCCTCCAGTATTCCTACAGGTACCACCAGACTTCTTAGATGCAAACCTCACAGAATCCAGTAGAGAGGAGTGACCAGGCACCAACAGACCTGAAAGCCAGCACCATGAACACATTCAATTCAGAAATGTTCAGTTTCAGTCATAGTCACTATAACTGATGACACCACAACAAACTGTTAAAATTTGACAATTTAACCAAGTTTTACTTATTTAATATAAATTTGCAACAAAACACATCATAATATTCATTACAAACTACAGAAACTATCACAGTGCCATGTTTCTTAATTCAAACAACAATAAGTAACGTTTAAAGATGTTTGCTGATAAACACTTTGCTGTTGCAGAAAAGATCATTTTTGAAGGACAAAATCCTTTAGTTCTAGTGAAGGACTGAACTGGAATTTGTGAATGAAAACAGCAGACATTGTGATGAGGATGCAGACTGTGATGTTACAGGTATGTGCCAAAAAATTAGAATATTGAGGAAAAGTCCATTTATTTCAATAATTTGTTTCAAAAAGTGAAACTTGTATGTTATATTAGTTCACTGCACACAAAGTGAAATATTTCAAGCCTTTATTTGTTTCAATTTTGATGATTATGGATTAAAGACAAAAAAAAAAACCCAAATCCAGTATTTCACAAAATTAGAATATCATGACAAAGTTCAACATTGTAGGCTCCCTGTGTCCCAATCTAGTCAGCTAATTAATGCAAAACACCTGCAAAGGTTTCCTCAGCCTTGAAATTGTCTCAGTCTGGCTTAGTAGGCTTCAGAATCATGGGGAAGACTGCTGACTTGATGGTTGTGCGGATGACCATCATTGACACCCTCCATAAGGAGGAAAAGTCTCAAAAGGCAATTGCAAAAGAAGCTGGATGCTCACAGAGCGCAGTATCAAAGTATATTAACAGAGTGTTAAGAAGAAGGGAAGAATGTGGCCGGAAAAGGTGCAAAAGTGACAGGGATGACCGCAGCCTTGAGAGGATAGTCAAGCAAGGGCGATTCAGAAATCTGGGGGAGCTTCATAAGGAGTGGACTGAGGCTGGTGTCAGTGCATCAAGAACCACCACATATAGACGTCTGCATGACATGGGCTACAGCTGTAGAATTCCATGCGTCAAGCCACTCCTGAACCAAAAACAACGTCAGAAGAGTCTGTGCTTTCCCTCGATATTCTAATTTTTTGGCACATACCCGTAGACTTGAAGCAGATGGCTCAGTCTTGTATAAGCCGCTGCATGTAGAACTATCACAGTAAGATGTTTGATTGCTTGCTACATCGAGCCAATAATCAGGTGACCATCCCAAATTAAGCTTTATTTTGTCACAGTTATCCGATGTCACGCCGATTTTGAATAAATTGTGAGACAGATATATAATAATTAAAGATCATTATTTAGTTATAATGAACTTCTTTTCCAATAACTGCAAAGGAGTTTGCCGCTGTCTTTGACGTCATTCCCTCTGGCCTCATCGTGTTAAAAAAAAAAAGATTTTAAAACAACACAGACTTATCAGTCCGCTACCGTGTTAAAATAAACCAGACTATAGAGTCTGTTTTCATAATACAAGTCACAAAGTGCTGTGATGCCGAAGAAGACGGAGACCCTGGCCCAGTTTAATTCCTGGTTACAATTATCCTTGCATCAAGTGTCGTTCAGTGACAATGTAATACTACGCATTGAAAAGCTAACAGAGCTAGCTAATTTAGGCTGTAATACGACTGGATTAAGACATATGCTTATAATAAAGCTTGTGCTGCTGGCAATAAATGAGCGAATTTAACGAGAAATTAACACATTTGAAAGGATTTCTTAAAAATACTACCACAAATACTTAATACCTGCTCTTGACCTGAACATCAAGGACGCCATCTTGAATGCTGTAACTTAAGTATTTGCGTCACATCCGGATACGTGTGTTGCGTTTAAAATCCCCAAGACAAATGACAGTAACAACTGTAAAACCACACTGAAAGAACAGATTCAAACTTGTTGCTGAAAAATATAAAGTTATACGCACACCAGCTTAATTAATATACAGCAACAAAATTACTCGAAACAATAATTTAAAGGGATGAGATTTGTTAGCGGATCTGCATGAATAATTCGCCTCAAAGAACTACATTATGTTTAGACTTTTAAAAGCATTTTACGCAAATAAATTGAATTATAGTTACTAATTATTATTAATTTTAATTCAGAAATAATATATTTTACACATTGCTTAGGCTGAGGGTAAAACGTGAAACGTGATTGTCAACATTTGTAAAAATTATCCTTCCACAAATTGAAGGCATCATTGGCATGTCGGACTCTCGTGTACAGTTTTGTCAATATAAAGGAATAATTGACAACACTGCAAGCAGGTAATGCTAATACTTAATTAAAGTATCTTATTGTATGGATGCTGACTCAGCATCCATACCTTGTTTTCCTGGTTTTTATTATTATTATTGTAATACTCTCCGTTCCTACACAAGCAGCCAGTCAACAGGTTCAGTCTTCACCTGCCGTCGGCCGCTTGAATAGGGAAGCATTGTCTTTACGACGACCTGAGGCACAGGCAGTGGGGCTGAAACCCGAGCTTCTGACACCAATGTAATACTCTCCGTTCCTACACAAGCAGCCAGACGTTCTTGTGGTATCAGTGTCCTTTTATTTGTAATAACTTAACAGGCTTCCATGCTGTTGTTTCAGCCACAGCACACGCTAACGAGCTCTTTTTAAACTCCCAACATTCAACACTCCACAACAACACCAACAACTGCCTGCTCTTCCTCGCTCTCTCCTCCCACACACCTCACAGCGCCCCCCCCTCTCACATTCTTTCAGGCAATAACATGTAGAACCATATAACAGGATGCTAGACATTAGAACCATATAACTAGATGCTAGACATCAGAACCATTACACAGCCCCCCCCCAAACAAAACCCCTTGCCCTCAAGGGGACACACAAAAGTCCTCAAACCACGGAGGCCTCCGCCTCCATCTCTGGGGTCTGTGTGGACTCAGTTCATGCCTTTCCTCAGTATTCAGTAGCAGCACCCTTTTTAGCTAATACAGCCATGAGTCTTTATAGGAATGATGCAACAAGTTTTTCACACCTGCATTTGGGGATCTTCTGCCATTCCTCCTTTCAGATCCTCTCCAGTTCTGTCAGGTTGGATGGTAAACGTTGGTGGACAGCCATTTTCAGGTCTCTCCAGAGATGCTCAATTGGGTTTAAGTCAGGGCTCTGGCTGGGCCATTCAAGAACAGTCACGGAGTTGTTGTGAAGCCACTCCTTCGTTATTTTAGCTGTGTGCTTAGGGTCATTGTCTTGTTGGAAGGTGAACCTTCGGCCCAGTCTGAGGTCCTGAGCACTCTGGAGAAGGTTTTCGTCCAGGATATCCCTATACTTGGCCGCATTCCTTCCCTCAATTGCAACCAGTCGTCCTGTCCCTGCAGCTGAAAAACACCCCCATAGCATGATGCTGCCACCACCATGCTTCACTGTTGGGACTGTATTGGACAGGTGATGAGCAGTGCCTGGTTTTCTCCACACATACCGCTTAGAATTAAGGCCAAAAAGTTCTATCTTGGTCTCATCAGACCAGAGAATCTTATTTCTCACCATCTTGGAGTCCTTCAGGTGTTTTTTAGCAAACTCCATGCAAACTTTCATGTGTCTTGCACTGAGGAGAGGCTTCCGTCGGGCCACTCTGCCATAAAGCCCCGACTGGTGGAGGGCTACAGTGATGGTTGACTTTCTACAACTTTCTCCCATCTCCCGACTGCATCTCTGGAGCCCAGCCACAGTCATCTTTGGGTTCTTCTGTACCTCTCTCACCAAGGCTCTTCTCCCCCGATAGCTCAGTTTGGCCAGACGGCCAGCTCTAGGAAGGGTTCTGGTCGTCCCAAACGTCTTCCATTTAAGGATTATGGAGGCCACTGTGCTCTTAGGAACCTTAAGTGCAGCAGAAATTTTTTTGTAACCTTGGCCAGATCTGTGCCTTGCCACAATTCTGTCTCTGAGCTCTTCAGGCAGTTCCTTTGACCTCATGATTCTCATTTGCTCTGACATGCACTGTGAGCTGTAGGGTCTTATATAGACAGGTGTGTGGCTTTCCTAATCACGTCCAATCAGTATAATCAAACACAGCTGGACTCAAATGAAGGTGTAGAACCATCTCAGGGATGATCAGAAGAAATGGACAGCACCTAAGTTAAATATATGAGTGTCACAGCAAAGGGTCTGAATACTTATGACCATGTGATATTTCAGTTTTTCTTTTTTAATAAATCTGCAAAAATGTCAAAAATTCTGTGTTTTTCTGTCAGCAGCACGAAGGCCCAGCGACAGTTGACTCCCCCCTGAGCTCCTCCTCCTTGGCGTCCCTCCGATTACAATAGGTACAGCCGGCAGCTGCACAGGGAAGTATGCTGCACAAAGTACAGGTCCTTTCAGGTTTTCCACATTTTGATATTTTTCAGACTCATCTTACAGTGGATTCAATTCATTCAGGTTTTTAGAGTGATTTAGTAAATTTATTGCAAATAAAAGACTGAAGTTTCACATTTCCATAAATATTCAGACTCTTCACTTAGGACCTGGTTAAAGCACCTTTGGCAGCAATGACATCCTCAAGTCTCCTTGAGTAGGAAGCTACAAACTTGGCACAACTTTCTTTTGGAATTTTCTTCCATTCCTCTTCAACCAGGTGGTTGGGCAGCCAGAACTACGAAGAGTGCTGGTGGGTCCAAATCTCTTCCATTTGAGAATGATGGAAGCTACTGTGTTCTTGGGCACTTCCAATGCTGAAAAATGTTCTTGTGTCCTTCCCCAGACCTGTGCCTTGACACAGTCCTGTCTCACAGGCCTGTGCACAGTTCGCTCCACCTCATGGCTTTGCTTTTGCGCTGACATCACCATCAGCTATGAGACCTCATATAAACAGGCGTGTGCCTTTCCTGATTATATCCAGTGCATTAGACCTGGCCCAGGCAAACTCTGATCAAACTGTAGACTCATCTCAGCCACCACTGTAAGGAGTAGGATGCACCAGAGCTCAACTGCAAGTGTAGTAACAAAGGGTCTGAATACTTTTGTAAATTGGATATTTCAGTCTTTCATTTTTAAAAATCCAAAAACCTGTTTTCACTTTAGCACTGGAGTACTGTGTGTAGATTGACGTGGAAAAATTTAACTGAATCCATTTTAAGATGAGTCTGAAACATAACAAAATGTGGAAAACTTGAAGGTGTCTGAATACTTTCTGTACAGACTGCATATTTATGTTTGCATACTGTACATTACTACCCACAATATTAGGTACAGAATGACTTATAGTGTTGACTGAAAAGGTGTAGGCTGAAGCCCGTGCTTAATATGCCCAGCCTTATCACATTCAATATCTTTCCATTTTTCAGTTTTTATAGACTACATCAATATAATGAGTACAAAACGCATCAGCGCATACATCCATCTAAACCCACTTACATGTAAATGTTTAACACACAAACATTATACTGTAAACATACAAAGCTTTTTTAATCAAATCATATTTTATATTTGCTGATTACATTTCTTTTAAATTTATTTTTTATTTCATCCTCCAAATTATTCCATAGGTTTACCACTCTTACTGAAATACAGTAATTGTAACATTTGTTTTTGTCCTTTTTTTAAAATAAAATTGCTTTTTCCTGTCAACAAGGGGATGTCGGTATCAGACTATTCTAATTTTCCTTTTAGGACTGTGGGGGATAAATTCACATACCTTGGTATCACAGTTACGAGGAGGCATAAGAACCTTTTCAAGGAAAACGTCCTCACCTTGCTCGATCACACAAAACACAGCTTGGCTCAGTGGTCACCCCTTTCTACCTCCTTGATTGGGCGAATTCATTCTATCAAAATGAATGTTCTTCCTAAATTCCTATATATCTTTCAATCAGTACCAACCTTCATCCCCAAATTATACTTTGATACATTAGATTCTATTATATCGTCTTATATTTGGAAGGGCAAGCGCCCCAGGCTCAGCAAAGTTCACCTTCAGAAGTCCAAGGCTGAGGGGGGTATGGCGCTACCTAACTTTCGCCTATACTACTGGGCGGCCACTATTCGCTGCCTCACCTTTTGGTCATACTTTCATAGTCGATCCGACCGTCCTCCGTGGGTGGCAATGGAATTAGGCTCGGCTAAAAATTCTTTCATTCCAGCACTTCTAGGCTCCCCACTCCCTTTCGCACCATATAAATTCACAGATAATCCAGTGGTC